CTTTTTTGGAGGTCCTGCTTACTTGTTGGGGGATCCTTTGGGAGGTCTTGTTTACTTGTTTGAGGGTACTACTTAGTTTTTGGGAGGTCCTGCTCACTTTTGGGGGGTTCGGTTTACTTCTTGGGAGGTCCTCCCTACTTTCTGGGAGACTTGTTGGCAGGTCCTCTTCACTTGTTGGCAGGTTCTGCTAACTCTTTGGGGGGTCCTGTTTACTTTCTGGGAGGTCCTGTTTCCTTTTTGGTGAGTTACTGTTTACTTGTTTGGGAAGTCCTGTGTACTTTCTGGGAGGTCATGTTTACTTTGTGGGAGGTCATGTTTACTTTGTGGGAGGTCATGTTTACTGTTTGGGAAGTCCTGTTCAATTCTGGGGGGGCCCTGTCTACTTTTAGGGAGGCCCTGTTTCCTTTCTTGAGATCCTGCTTACTTTTTGGAAGGTCGTGCTCACTCTTTGGGGGTCCTGATTACTTTTTGGGAGGTCCTGTTCACTCTCTGGCAGGTCCTGTTTACTTTGTGAGAGGTCACGTTTACTTTTTGGGTGGTCCTGTTCACTTCTTGGGGGGTCCTGTTTATTTGTTTGGGGGGTCGGTTAACTTTGTGGGAGGTCCCGCTTACTTGTTGGGGGGGTCGTTTTCTTTGGCGAGGGATCCTGTTTACTTTTGGGGAGGTTCTGCTCACTTGTTTGGGAGGTCCTGTTCTCTTTTTTGGGGAGGTCCTGATGGCTTGCCGGAAGCTTAGGTTTCCTTTTCTGAGGAGGTTCTGTGTACTTTTGGGGGAGGTCCTGGTTACTTTTTTGGGGGGTTCTGATTACTTTATTGGAAGGTCCTGTTTACTGTTGGGGAGGTCCTGTTTACGTTTTGGGAGGTCCTGTTTAAGTTATGGGGGATCCTGGGGGGTCCTGTTTACTTGATAGGGGGTCCTGTTTACTTTCTTGGGAGGTCCTGTTTACTTTGTGGGAGGTCCTGATTACTTGTTGGGGGGCATGTTTGAGGGATCCTGTTCGCTTTTTGGGAGGTCAGGTTTACGTCTTTGGAGGTCCTGTTTACATTTAGGGGGTCTTGTTCCCCAATCAGAGCTTGCCTCTGTAGGGGTCCTAGCGCATTCATATGGTTACGTGAGGTTTGGCGCGCCGATTTCGGCGGCACGCCCGGGTGCCAGGGTGCCCGGGTGCCTGGGAGCCCGGGTGACCGGGGACCCGGTAACCCTATAGCCCTATAGCCATATAGCCTTATAGCCTTATAGAATTGCAGCCCTGTAGCCCTATAGCCCTATAGCTCTATAGCCCGATAGCCCTACAGCTCTAATAGCCCTAAAGCCCTAATAGCTTTAAAGCCCTGTGGCCCTGTAGCCCCACGGCCCTATAGCCCTAAAACCCCATAGCTTTATAGCCTTATAGCCTTATAGCCATATAGCCCTATGGCCCTATAGCACTATAGCCCAATAGCCCTATAGTCCTGTAGCCCTACAGCGCTATAGCCCTATAGCCCTACAGCCCTATAACCCCATAGCCCTACAGCCCTAAACAGATTATGATTGGGATTTTCTCCAGTATCATTTACTTGTTTCGAGGTCTTGCCTACTTTTAGGGAAACCCTGTTTATTCTTTTGGGAGGCCTGCAAATTTCCCCCACCCGACAGGTTGGGATTGTTAGATTTACCCGCTGGCCAACCCCACCCTGCATACCGCGGCCGGCAGACCCAAATTGTCCCGATGATCCCCGAGAGTCCCAACTGTCACGCCTTGAGCCCTCAACGAACACGACTGAACACAACATGACACAACAAAACATGACAGAACGGAACAGAGCATGACATAACATGACAGAACAGAGCATACCAATGTCATGACAGAGTAGAACACAACAAAACATCACAGAACATACCGGATAATAACATGACAGAACAGAAGACGGCAAGAAAAAACATGACATAACAGAGCCGTGCATAACATAACACACCTTGACATAACATTTCATATCATGACACAGCATCACAGAACAGACCAGAACGTGACAATTGAGCATAGCGACAACGAACACGACAGAACACAACATGGCACAACAGAACATGACAGACCACGGCAGAAAATATTAGAGCAACGTCATGACATATTAGAGCACAACATAACATCACATAACATACCATAGCAAAACATGATTTAACAGAAAACGGCATGACACAGGATAACAAAACAGATCCGAGCATAACATGACACACCATGACACAACATATCGTATCATGACACAGCATCACAGAACCCATCTGAGCGCGAGAGCAGAGCATGGCGACGACGAACACGACAGAACACAACATGACACAACACAACAGAACATTGAATAACAGAGCACGAGCATGCCATACCATGCCAGGGCAGGGCATAACAAGATCATGACAAAGTAGAGCATACTGGAACATCACATACCATACACGAGCATAACATGACAGAACATAAGATGTCATATAGCAACATAGCATGGCATAACCGATCATAACATAACACGCGTTGACATATCATGTAATATCATACTATGACACAACATCACAGAACATATCATAACACGACAGCAGGGATCAGCTACACCTACTAGCAGAGCATACCATAATGTACTATACAGAGCCGAGCCGTCAACAAACATAACATCACACGACATAACATAACAGAACATACCAGTACATAAGACATACCACAACATAACAAAACATAGCCGAGAATAACATAGCACATCTTGCTATAGAATGCCCTACCGTGACACAGCATCACACAACATTTCACAGCACGGCAGCAGAGCATAGCGACACATACTAGCAGAGCAGAGCATAATCCCATCAGCCCTCTGGGCGACAGTGGGTCAAACGATGCTTCTTCTTCCTCTTCCGCAACCCCTTCTTCCCCTTCGGGGAGGGGGGTGCCCTCCTCCTACAGTCGGCCCAGATTAGTAGGTCGACCCTGCCAAATCAAGAGTACCTTTGTGCCCTGTGTCTCGCGACCCATGCTTCCTACATTCCTGTGGCAATATGGCCCTCGGAAGGGTCTTGTGTCCTCTCGCGTGTCCTGTCCAATTGAGTCCGTCTGTACCCCCTCCCCTGGACCAGGACGGGGGGTGTGATCGCGAGCGGTAAGGGCGTCCAAGATAACCTGAGATGGCCCCACGAGGGCCTCAGAGAGCCCAAGATGGCCTCCAAGATCGCTCAAGATAGCCAGGAGGAGGAGGAGGAGGAGGAGGAGGAGGGCAACATGGCTCAAGATAGCTAACAACATGCCTCTAAGAGGCCCCAAGAAGGCAACAAGACGGATCCAAGTGCTCTTGGCGACCCCTCAAGACCTCCCCGAGAAGCCAACATTCTTCAAAAACTTAGGAAGACCAATGATTTGCGCCTTCTCGCCTTTTCGCTTCCGATGTGCTTTTGAGGACTCAAGATGGCCCTAAAATGGCCCCCGAAAGCTCCAAGAAGGGCCCAAGAGGCCCCCAAGATCGGCCCAGGATTGCCCAAGATCGGCCCAAGAGGGCCCCAAGAGCGCCCCAAGAGGCTATTTCGATGGCCCTGGAGGGGGGGAGGCAAATCGAGGACCCCCCATCCCTTGATCGATGATCTCCAAGATGGCCCCAGGAGGTGCTCCATACCCATAGCTCCCAAGGGGGCCCCAAGAGAGCCCCAAGAGGGCCCAAGAGGGCCGCATGAGGGCCCCAAGGCGCCCCGAAATAGCCCCAAGAGGACCCCAAGACCCCCAAAGAGCACCAAGAGGGCCCCAAGATGCCCCGAAAAAGCACCCAAATATCCCCCAACACAACCCAGTAGCCCTGTCAAGGGCCCTCTTGAGGGCCTCTGGAGCCGTCGTGAGATCTCTTGCTTGGACCGTCTCGAGGACACCTGAGGCTCTCTCGGGGCCGTCTTGGTGCCCTCTTGGGCCTTTTTGGGGCCCTCTTGGGACGTTTTGGGGCCCTTGAGCCGCTTCACTCGAAAAAATATTAGGAAACGGGCCATGGAAGCCGCCCGGGGGCCGCTTCACTCAAAAACATACGAAAGAAGCGGCCCCCGGGCGGCCATCACAACCATCCCCCCGGTCCTCGCCCCTCCCCAGGACCCCTCCCTAGAGGGCTTCGCCCCAGCTCAGCTTCGCCCCTCCCCTGGAACCCCTCCCTGGAAGGCTACGCTCCCCAAGAGCGTCATCACTCGTACCTCGCTCTTTCCGTTACGTTTCGCCCGCGCACCGCTCCTCCCCCGGAACCCCTCCCTAGAGAGCTTCGCCCCACCAGAACGTCATCGCTGGTACCTCCCTCGTTCCGCTACCTGCTTGGCACGGGGACGGAAAGCGCGTATACTTCGTGAAGGCGCGATGTCGCTTGCTTAGGGTCTTCGAGCCCTGCTGCTGTTGAGGCCTTAGTGCGACAAGCAAGAGTCGATCAACAAACCTAGCAGGAATCAATGAAGATTGCATTTCTGCGCCCTCCTGGGGATCCTTGTGGGGCTATTCTGGGCCCTCTGGGGCGGACCTGGGGCCCTTTTGGGCCGCGTGCTGAGGCGCCACCTCTGCTCACATCTACAGCGCGTGCAGCGCGACCAACCTGCCGCCGCCAGCCCTACCACACTGGCTGGGGGTCACGGGGCGCCTCCTTCCTGCGGCCCAGCACTGCCGCTGGTGGCAGGCCTCTGCCTTCTGTCCACGCCCGCCGCGTCCAGGCGCGGCGCCACGCCCTCCTCTGCTCTAATCGCCGCAGTTGCCTTCTCCCGCCCTTCCTTTGCCTTTGCCCTTGTGGCCCTTGCCTCTGCAGCTGGTGCCGTTCCTGTCCTCTGCCTCTGCCTCTGCCTCTGCCTCCTCCTCCTCCTCCTCCTCCTCGTCTTCTCAAGCCTGTTCCGCGCGAAGCTCGGCGCCGGCCGCCACCTCTTCGCGCACGAACTTCGCGTATAGGAAGTAGCCAACGAGGAACGTTTCAGCCACGAACAGCACGAAGGCGGTGCCAAGAAGGACAGCCTGCTCCATCTCTGGCGTCTTGCTCCAGGACTCACCCGCGAGCCACACCGCAGCCACCATGCCGAGGGCCAACACCGCGAGCGCTCTCTGTTCGACGCGGTTCAGCGCGCTGTTCGCGTACGGGTGACACGCGCTGTGCCCGAGGAGGAAGAGGCCCATCACCACGAGGGCAAGAGCCAGCTTCTGGCCCGGGCAGTAGGATGCCGGCGACATCGCAGAGATCGCGGCGAGCGCCATGGACTTGCTCAGGCGGCATGCCTCCCAACTCGCTGGGCCAACGGGCCAGAGGCGTGCTAAGATCTCCGGCGCCAGCTTCAGAGAATGCTCCTAGCTTCAGGTCGGGCGTGTTCCCCAACAGGCGGATTTTGGCGAAACATAAAAACTACCCTGGCGACGTACCCACGCCCTGCGCAATGTGGGGCATGAATAGCTTGGGCGACTTGCTAAGGAGGCGATGACGAGACAAGGGCGAATTGTATTTCTGCGACCAGCATTTGGGAGGTCACATTTGAATTCGCCGCGGGGCTCCACTATGCTGGTAGCCCTAGGAGCCCTCGAAAGTGGCGACTGTTTCACAGATCGCAGCCCCCCAGGGATGGCGAGGTCCCATTTGAATCTGCGTGGCATGTCACTATGCTGGACCCCCCAGCAGCCCTCGAAAGTGGCGACGGTTTCACAGATCGCAGCCCCCAGGGATGGCGAGGTCTAATTTGAATCTTCGTAGGACGTCAGCATACTGCCCCCCCCCCAGCAGCCCTTGAAAGTGGCGACTGTTTCACAGATCGCAGCCCCCTCCAGGGATGGCGAGGTCCCATTTCAATCTGCGTAGGACTTCGCTATGCTGGACCCCCCCGCAGCCCTCGAAAGTGGCGACTGTTTCACAGATCGCAGCCCCCCAGGGATGGCGAGGTCTAATTTGAATCTGCGTAGGACGTCACTGTGCTGCCCCCCCCAGCAGCCCTTGAAAGTGGCGACAGTTTCACAGATCGCAGCCCCCCAGAGATGGCGAGGTCGAATGTGAATCTGCGTAGGACGTCTCTATGCTGGAATCTGCGTAGGACGTCACTATGCAAGACCCCCCAGCACCCCTCGAAAGTGGCGATAGTTTCACAGATCGCAGCCCCCAGGGATGGCGAGGTCTAATTTGAATCTGCGTAGGACGTCACTATGCTGCCCCCCCCCAGCAGCCCTCGAAACTGGCGACTGTTTCACAGATCGCAGCCCCCCCAGGGATGGCGAGTCCCATTTGAATTTGCGTAGGACGTCATCATGCTGGACCCCCCAGCCCTCGAAAGTGGCGACAGTTTCACAGATCGCAGCCCCCAGGAATGGCGAGGTCCCATTTGAATCTGCGCAGGACGTCAGCATACTGCCCCCCCCCCGCCCTCCCAGTAGCCCTCGAAAGTGGCGACAATTTCACAGATCGCAGCCCCCCCCGAAATGGCGAGGTCACATTTGAATCTGCGTAGGACGTCACTATGCTGGACCCCCCAGCAGCCCTCGAAAGTGGCGACTGCTTCACAGATCGCAGCCCCCTCCAGGGATGGCGAGGTCCCATTTGAATCTGCGTGGGACTTCACTATGCTGGACCCCCGAGCAGCCTTCGAAAGTGGCGACAGTTTCACAGATCGCAGCCCCCCAGGGATGGCGAGGTCGAATTTGAATCTGCGTAGGACCTCACTATGCTGCTCCCCCCAGCAGCCCTCGAAAGTGGCGACTGTTTCACAGATCGCAGCCCCCCAGAGATGGCGAGGTCGAATGTGAATCTGCGTAGGACGTCACCAAGCTGGAATCTGCGTACGACGTCACTATGTTGGACCCCCCAGCAGCCCTCGAAAGTGGCGACAGTTTCACTGATCGCAGCCCCCCAGGGATGGCGAGGTCGAATTTGAATCTGCGTAGGACCTCACTATGCTGCCCCCCCCCAGCAGCCCTCGAAAGTGGCGACTGGTTCACAGACCGCAGCCCCCCAGGAATGGCGAGGTCCCATTTGAATCTGCGCAGGACGTCACTATGCTGGACCCCCCAGAAGCCCTCGAAAGTGACGACAGTTTCACAGATCGCAGCCCCCCAGGGATGGCGAGGTCAAATTTGAATATGTGCACGACGTCACTATGCTGCCCCCCCCCCAGCAGCCCTCGAAAGTGGCGACAAGTTCACAGATCGCAGCCCCCAGAGATGGCGAGGTCCCATTCGAATCTGCGTAGGACGTCACTATGCTGGACCCCCCAGCAGCCCTCGAAAATAGAGACAGTTTCACAGATCGCGGCCCCCCAGGGATGGCGAGGTCGAATTTGACTCCGCGTAGGACCTCACTATGCTGCCCCCCCCCAGCAGCCCTCGAAAGTGGCGACAGCTTCACAGATCGCAGCCCCCCGCAGGCAAGACAGGAGGAGGCAGGAGGAGCCAGGAGGGAGGCGGGAGGACGACGCGGCCTCGGCGGGAGGAGGCAGGAGGGAGGCGGGAAGGAGGAAGGACGGACCCCAGTGCACTATTCAAAACGAATACTCAACCAAGGAGGGTTGGGACATATTCAAACTTATCCCGACAAAGCAACCTAACAGCGATATGTAGGAGCATACCTGGAAGCATTCCCCTTAAGATTCACATGATAATCCAGTTGTAGAATTCCGCTGTTCTCGCAGTCGCAGTCGCATTCGCGATGACAGTCGCAGTGGCAACGGCAGTCGCAGTCACAGCCTCAGCCTCAGCCTCAGTCTGCCTCAGCATCAGCCTCAGCCTCAGCCTCAGCCTGCCTCAGCCTCAGCCTCAGCCTGCTTCAGCCTCAGCCTCAGTCTGCCTCCAGCCTCGGCCTCAGCCTCAGCCTGCCTCAGCCTCAGCCTGCATCAGCCTCAGCCTCAGCCTCAGCCTGCCTCAGCATCAGCCTGCCTCAGCCTCAGCCTCAGCCTGCCTCAGCCTCAGCCTCAGCCTGCTTCAGCCTCAGCCTCAGTCTGCCTTCAGCCTCGGCCTCAGCCTCAGCCTGCCTCAGCCTCAGCCTGCATCAGCCTCAGCCTCAGCCTCAGCCTGCCTCAGCATCAGCCTGCCTCAGCCTCAGCCTCAGCCTGCCTCAGCCTCAGCCTCAGCCTGCTTCAGCCTCAGCCTCAGTCTGCCTTCAGCCTCGGCCTCAGCCTCAGCCTGCCTCAGCCTCAGCCTGCATCAGCCTCAGCCTCAGCCTCAGCCTGCCTCAGCATCAGCCTCAGCCTCAGCCTCAGCCTCAGCCTCAGCCTCAGCCCTCAGCCTCAGCCTCAGCCTCAGCCTCAGCCTCAGCCTCAGCCTCAGTCTGCCTTCAGCCTCGGCCTCAGCCTCAGCCTGCCTCAGCCTCAGCCTGCATCAGCCTCAGCCTCAGCCTCAGCCTGCCTCAGCATCAGCCTGCCTCAGCCTCAGCCTCAGCCTGCCTCAGCCTCAGCCTCAGCCTGCTTCAGCCTCAGCCTCAGTCTGCCTTCAGCCTCGGCCTCAGCCTCAGCCTGCCTCAGCCTCAGCCTGCATCAGCCTCAGCCTCAGCCTCAGCCTGCCTCAGCATCAGCCTGCCTCAGCCTCAGCCTCAGCCTGCCTCAGCCTCAGCCCCAGCCTGCTTCAGCCTCAGCCTCAGTCTGCCTTCAGCCTCGGCCTCAGCCTCAGCCTGCCTCAGCCTCAGCCTGCATCAGCCTCAGCCTCAGCCTCAGCCTGCCTCAGCATCAGCCTGCCTCAGCCTCAGCCTCAGCCTGCCTCAGCCTCAGCCTCAGCCTGCTTCAGCCTCAGCCTCAGTCTGCCTTCAGCCTCGGCCTCAGCCTCAGCCTGCCTCAGCCTCAGCCTGCATCAGCCTCAGCCTCAGCCTCAGCCTGCCTCAGCATCAGCCTGCCTCAGCCTCAGCCTCAGCCTGCCTCAGCCTCAGCCTCAGCCTGCTTCAGCCTCAGCCTCAGTCTGCCTTCAGCCTCGGCCTCAGCCTCAGCCTGCCTCAGCCTCAGCCTGCATCAGCCTCAGCCTCAGCCTCAGCCTGCCTCAGCATCAGCCTGCCTCAGCCTCAGCCTCAGCCTGCCTCAGCCTCAGCCTCAGCCTGCTTCAGCCTCAGCCTCAGTCTGCCTTCAGCCTCGGCCTCAGCCTCAGCCTGCCTCAGCCTCAGCCTGCATCAGCCTCAGCCTCAGCCTCAGCCTGCCTCAGCATCAGCCTGCCTCAGCCTCAGCCTCAGCCTGCCTCAGCCTCAGCCTCAGCCTGCTTCAGCCTCAGCCTCAGTCTGCCTTCAGCCTCGGCCTCAGCCTCAGCCTGCCTCAGCCTCAGCCTGCATCAGCCTCAGCCTCAGCCTCAGCCTCAGCCTCAGCCTCAGCCTCAGCCTCAGCCTGCCTCAGCCACAGCCTCAGCCTCAGCCTGCTTCAGCCTCAGCCTCAGTCTGCCTTCAGCCTCGGCCTCAGCCTCAGCCTGCCTCAGCCTGAGCCTGCATCAGCCTCAGCCTCAGCCTCAGCCTGCCTCAGCCTCAGCCTCAGCCTGCCTCAGCCTCAGCCTCAGCCTGCCTCAGCCTCAGCCTCAGCCCTCAGCCTCAGCCTCAGCCTCAGCCTCAGCCTGCCTTCAGCCTCGGCCTCAGCCTCAGCCTGCCTCAGCCTCAGCCTGCCTCAGCCTCAGCTCAGCCTGCCTCAGCATTGAAAATGTGGCCCGGGAATGGAGTTCTGGGAACTCGAAGAACACGAAGTGGCCTACAGTTGGCTCCGGGCATTCAAAATCATGCCCAGGAATAAAGTTCTGGGAACTCGAAGACCACGAAGTGGCCTACAGTTGGCTCCGGGCATTCAAAATCATGCCCAGGAATGGAGTTCTGGGAACTCGAAGACCACGAAGTGGCCTACAGTTGGCTCCGGGCATTCAAAATCATGCCCAGGAATGGAGTTCTGGGAATTCGAAGGCCACGAAGTGCGTTACTGTTGGCTAAAAAAAGAGTCCCCGGATTCCCGCGGCACCCGTCCGGATCCTGCCCAGACCCCCCTGGGGAGTCAAGATGCTTTCTTTCGACCCCACTAGAAACCTATCAGTCTTCGCTGTTAGGTAAAATGCACCAAAATGGCAGGAAAATGCTAAACATATCGTCCCCAGACTATGGAGGTACGTACCGGAACAAACTTTCGGACTGCCCATCGGGGCGTGGGGGAGTCGGGGAGTCGGGGAGTCGGGGAGTCGGGGAGTCGGCCAGTCGGGGAGTCGGGGAATCGGGGAGTCGGGGAGTCGGGGAGTCGGGGAGTCGGGGAGTCGGGGAGTCGGGGAGTCGGGGAGTCGGAGAGTCGGTCAGTCGGGAAGTCGGGGAGTCGGGGAGTCGGGGAATCGGAGGGTCGGGGAGTCGGGGAGTCGGGGAGTCGGTCAGTCGGGAAGTCGAGGAGTCGGCCAGTCGGGGAGTCGGAGAGCCGGGGAGTCGGGGAGTCGGAGAGTCGGTCAGTCGGGAAGTTGGGGAGTCGGCCAGTCGGCGAGTCGGGGAGTCGGGGAGTCGGGAAGTCGGCCAGTCGGGGAGTCGGGGAGTTGGGGAGTCGGGGAGTCGGGGAATCGGCGAGTCGGCCAGTCGGAGGCAGTACCCTGCAGTGGAGGCCAGTCCACAGGAAACCTTTTGCAAGAAACCCAACCCTGAGACCCCAGGGCGTCCCTTGGTTTCTGGTGTGGGAACGTCACGCTTTTAACAACAAAACCACAGGGACCTTAAAATCCCAGGGAACCCTGGAGGCAGGCATGGTGTTTCTTGGCATGGGTCTCCACTGTATGCAAATCCTGGGCGGTCCCCGTCACGGATGCCGGAACTCCTGGGGTCTGGCTTCAGGGCCTTCAAGAGCGTCTCAACAAGCCCCAAAAGCGGTCAAAGAGGGCCCAGAGTCACTGGAAGTCGTTCCAAGATGCCCAAGATAGCCTCCAGACGGCGTCAACCGCCCCCAAGACGCCCGAAGATGCCTCCAAGACCACTCCCAAGAAGCCTCCTAGAGGCAACTTCAACGATTTCCATTGATTTTGGAGGTTCTTAGCTTTCTCATATTTTCGGCCGCCGACGCTCTAAGACGGCCCGAGAAGCCCCAAAGCTCGCGCCAAGACGGCGGCCCACGGGGACTCAACGACGGTCCAAGATTCTCCCCAAACAGCGCTGGAGAACCTCAAAATCGCCCCCAGAGCCCACCCCCCAGGCCTCCGAAGAGCTCTCAATAGGCCTTCGGCCCCAAATAGCACCCAAGCGGCCCCCGAGAGCCCCCCAAGAGGGTTCAAGAGGCCCCCAGGAGGCGCTAAGAGAGCCCCAAGAGGAATCCAAGGCGCCCCCAGGCTCCCAGGAGCCCCTGGAACTGCTACACCGGAGCCCTCCGAGAACCCTCCGAAAACCCTCCGAAGAGACACCAAGAAACATCCATGAGGGCTGACACCCACAACCGCAGCAGCGCCGACCAGCAGCGCCGCATGGCCCACGAACGCGCACGCAAACGCCAACGATGGCACAATATAGGCCAGCGGATTGAGCGAAGCGGTTAAATAATTGTAGCGCTCCTGGTAGGACCCAGTGAGGAATCTCAGTGAGTTGTCCTGCTTGCCAACTTCATTATTATCCTCATCCTTGGGTTTGTCCTGGTCCTTGCCATCGTCATCGTTATCCGAGTCCTTGTCAACGTCGGCCTTGTCATCATTGGCACCCTTCTCCTTGCCCTCGTCACCCTGGTACTCGTCATCCTTGTCCTTGTCCCTGCCCACCTCATTATTGTCATCGTTGTTATCCTTGTCCTTGCGGTCGTCATCCTTGTCCTCGTCATCGCAACTATGACTCTTGTCCTCGCCACCACCCGCGGCCGCGTCATAGCGGCGCTTCGCCGAGTCAAGGCGCAGGATCCAGACCCAGGCGACGGGCCCTGCGACCACAGTGACGAGCAAGGCGGGGATGGCGACCGCCATGGCCTGAACGCGGTTGGAGATAGTGCACTGTGCGGCGGCGTTGTAGGCCATATACGACTTACCTCCTGCCTGGGTGTGAAAGCAGGGGGCTGCTTGGAAGCAAATACCAACGAACCCAGGCAAGAACTGGTTCCCGGAAGGCCGCGAGGGCCCGGGACCTGAAGGCCTGGGATCGTGCTGAACGCTCCTTGATCGCTACGAAGATGAGGGCCAGGCTCAAGATGATAGCGGCCTGCAACACGAGAGCCTCTAACTTCTGCGTGATGGAGGCCGGCTTCTGGCCATTGAACAGCAACCAGTCCAAGCTTGACGAGTGCGCCGGGGAACTCCCAGAGGAGTCCCCGGATGTGATGGAGGCCGTGCTGAGCGCTCTGCTCGCCCCCAATTTCATGGTGCCGGTGAGAGCGCGGAACGCGTCCATCGATTCAATGCTGCTTGCCAAGAAGACCATGCCTGAACTGAAAGCCATCAAGATCTTGAGAACGTCGTTGGAATAGGCCGCGCCGACGTTCACCGCGAAACGGGCCTTCTCCGCGCCGGACAACGATATGGCGTACAACACGATGGGCTGACTCATCCAAACGGCCAACTGGACCTTCGAGAGAGCGCGCCCGTCGCACACTCCCAAAGGGGAGTGTCCCCCCTCAGCTAATAACCCCCCCCCTTGAACCTCCCCTGCCCGAAAAAAACCCACCCACCCCTGTTTTTTCCGCCCGTCGGAAGCTACCCCCCCTCCTCTCGCATTTCAGACCCCCCCCCCTCCACCCCTTTCCAAAGGGGGGGGGGCAGCTACCCACCCCCTCCCTGTGAACCCTATCTGCCAGCAGCCCCACCCCTCCCCCCCTTGTCTTCCGCCCCTCAGAAGCTCCCCCCCCGTAAGGGTGACATGTGAGACTATGTGGCGTGAGGCTTTTCTCATCATCGTGCTCATCTTGATCACCACCATCATCATTACCATCATGATCATTATCCTCCTCTTCCTTCTCATGTTCTTTCTCGTCTTTCTACTCATCCTCATCTCCCTTCGTTTCTGCACACGCACATTGCCGTACAATAAAACAATACGATGAATAATAAAAGCACAAACGACAAGAAACCAATACAATCAAAAGCAAACATATATCGTCTGAGTCCGAACAAAGGCAAAACAACCTTAAAGCCAAAAATCAATGGTTTTCGTGCCTTCGGACTTCCACTGGGCCCCGCCAGCCCAGGTCCGCAGAATCCAAAGTAACAAAGAATCCTTGGGCCCGCTCGACCCCGCCCACCCGACCCGACCCCTCCGTTAAGGCCCGCCCGACGCGGCCCGCCCACCCGACCCGACCCAAGCCGCCCGCAAGGGCACGCGCGTCCCAACTCGATGCTGCATTATTTTTTGATGTCCGGCCGGCCCAACCCGATCCGCCCGTAAGGGTCCGCCCGACCCGACCCGCCCGCCCGACCCGACCCGCCCGTTGGGGCCCACGCATGCCAGGTCGATGACTCATCATAACTCTCTGTCCGGCCCGCCCGACCCGACCCACCCGCTGAGGCCCGCCCGACCGGGCCCGTCCGCCCGACCCGACCCGCCCGTTAGAATCGCGTGCCAACTCGATGATGCATCATTTTCCAATGTCCCGTCCGCCCGACCCGACCCGCCCGCCGGACACGACCCGCCCGTTAGGGCACCCGCATGCCAGCTCGATGCTGCATCATTTTCTAATGTCCCGCCCGCCCGACCCGACCCGCCCGTTAGGGCCCGCCCGACCCAGCTTGCCCACCCGACCCGACCCGCCCCTTCAGGCACGCGCGTGCCAACCCGGTGATGCATAATTTTGCAATGTCCCGCCCGCCCGACCCGACCCACCCGTTGGGGCACAAGCGTGCCAATTCGATGATGCATCATTGTTTCAAGTCCCGCCCGCCCGACTCGCTCGTTAGGGCCCGCCCGACCCGACCCGCCCCGCCCAACCCGACCCGCCCGTTGGGGTGCACGCGTGCCAAATCGACGATGCATCGCACTTCAATGTCCTGCCAGCCCGACCCAACCCGCCCGCTAGATCCGCCCGCCCGACCCGGCCCGCCCGCCCGACCTGACCAGCCCCTTAGGGCGCGCGCGTGCCCACTCGATGACGCATCATAATTTAATGTCCCGCCCGCCCGACCCGACCCGCCCGCTAAGGTCCGCCCAGCTGGCCCGGCCAGGCCCACCCGACCCGACTCGAGCCGTCGGGTCACGCGCGTGCCAACTCGATGCTGCATCATTTTTAACGTCCAGCCCGCCCGACCCGACCCGACCGTTCAGGCCCGCCCGATCCGCCCGCCCGCCCGACCCGACCGGTCCCTCACCGTGGTCCCTATCCGCCTCAGGGTCGCAAGGCGCGGCAGACGTGACACTTTCTCGATACCACAGATGGCGCGCAGGGGGTGGTCACTCACTGTGGTCTCTACCCGCCTCAGGGTCGCTAGGCGTGGCAGGCGTGAGCCTTCCTCGACACCATAAAGGGTGCGCAGGGGGTGGTCACTCACCGTGGTATCTATCCGTCTCAGGGTCGTAAGGCGTGGCAGACGTGGCACTGTCTCGACACCATGGAGGGTGCGCAGGGGGAGGTCCCTCACCGCGGTCTCTATCCGTCTCCAGGGTCGCAAGGCGTGGCAGGCGTGGCCTTTTCTCGACACCGAAGGGGGTGCGCAAAGGGCGATCCCTCACCGTGGTCTCTATCCGCCTGAGGGTTGCAAAGCGCGGCAGGCGTGGCTCTTCCTCGATACCATAGGGGGTGCGCAGGGGGTGGCCCCGTCACCGTGGTCTCCATCCGTCTCAGGGTCGTAAGGCGTGGCAAACGTGGCACTGTCTCGACACCGCAGATGGCGCGCAGGGGGTGGTCCCTCACCGTGGTCTCTATCCGCCTCAGGGCCGCAAGGCGTGGCAGGCGTGGAACTTGCTCGACACCATAGAGGGTGCGCAGGGGTGGTCACTCACCGTGGTCACTTTCCGTCTCCGGGTCGCGAGGCATGGCAGGCGAGGCACGTTCTCGACACCATAGAGGGTGCGCATGGAGTGGTCCCTCACCGCGGTCTCTATCCGCCTCAGGGTCGCAAGGCGTGGCAGGCGTGGTACTTTCTTGACGCCATAAAGGGGTGCGCAGGGGGTGGTCCCGCACCGTGGTCTTTGCCCGTTTCAGTGTCACAAGGCGTGGCAAGCGGCACTTGCCGACACCAAAGAGGGTGCACAGGGGGTGGTCCCTCACCGTGGTCTCTGCCCGTCTCAGGGTCGCAAGACGTGGAAGGCGTGGTAGTTTCTCGACACCACAGGGGGTGCGCAGGGGGTGGTCCCATGACCGTGGCTTCTATCCGTCTCAGGGTCGCAAGGCGCGGCAGGCGTGGCACCTTCTCGCTACCATAGGGGGTGCGCAGGGGGTGGCCCCTCACCGTGGTCTCTATCCGTCTCAAGGTCGCAAGGCGTGGCAAGCGTGGAACTTGCTCGACACCATAGAGGGTGCGCAGGGGGTGGTCACTCACCGTGGTCGCTATCCGCCTCAGGGTCGCAAGGCGTGGCAGGCGTGGCCTTTTCTCGACAACGGAGGGGGTGCGCAGGGGGTGGCCCCTCACCGTGGTCTCTATCCGTCTCAGGGTCGCAAGGCGTGGCACGCGTGGCACGCGTGGCACTTTCTCGACACAATAGAAGCTGCGCAGGGGGTAGTCCCGCACCGTGGTCTCTATCAGTCTGAGGGTCGCGCGGCGTGGCAAGCATGGCACTTTCTCCATGCCACAGGGGGTGCGCAGACAGGTGGTCCCTCACGCTGAATTGCGAACACCCGGCTCCAGCAGTTTGAGAAAGCTACGTTTAACACGCGGGCGCGTCGGGCATGAATTGCCTCAGCCACGGCGCCCAAATGCGCCATCGCGGCACTGCCGCCACCGTTTTCCCCGGAGGCCCCGCGACCCAGCTTCAGAGACGCCGATCGCGCCGTCCGATGCCGCAGGTGCACGAGCCTGCTGAACGCAAAAGCGACGAGTGTCTCTGCGGAGAAGGACAAATGGAGCGAGTGCCGCCAAGAAGAATACAAACTACGAGCGGATGGCGGAAAAGAGAGCGGCGTCACCCGATCACGATTGGCCTGTGCGTCCCGACCCAAAGACCTGGGTCCAGGCCCTGGACAGCAAGCGCACGTGGGAGACACTGATGCAAGTATGGGTCGAAGAGATCCAGGCATCATCAAGGAATCCAGAGCGAAGACCTGGATCAGCGTGGGTGCAAAGAAACCGCTACACCCGCGCTCCATCAGTCCATGACGGTACGCGCTCTCGCTGCCAGATTCTGCGACGAGAATGCAATGGGGCGCAACACCTGCCTCCTCGCTGGGGTTCTCGGAGGCCTTATGCCGAACGCGCCCGCCACTCCTCCCCGCCACTTCGCGCGCGTGCGAGCCCGAGACTTCCGGTCGACGGGCTTCGCCTCGCGCGTAGATCCCCGAGCCGTATTGTTTGGGCGGCCGCGGCAGCGCTTGCTCCCGGAGACTTTCTGTTGAAGCGGCGGCGTGCGAACCGTGTCCTGTGCGACGCTTGAAAACTCAATTTTCCTTTGGCGTTGCAATCGTATCTGTCGGCACGGCACGTCAGGCCCCCAAGACTTGAACTGCGCCGCCTTCGATGTCGGCGACACAACGGCCACGAGCAACATGCTCGCAAGTTCCACGTCAGCTACCGTCACGCAAGACACATGATAAGTATTGGGGGGGGTCCTCGGTCGCGTAATCTGTCATGTCCCGCCCGCCCGACCCGACCCGCCCGTTAGGTCCGCCCGAGCAGACCCGCCCACCCGACCCGACCCGACCCGTCAGGGCACGCGCGTGCCAAACCGATGATGCACCATATCTAAACGTCCTGCCCGCCCGACCCGCCCCGCCCGCTCGGGCCCGCCCGACCCGACCCGCCCGCCCGACCCGGCCAGCCCGTTAGGGCACGCGCGTGCCCACTCGATGACGCATCACAGTTTGAAGCCCCGCCCGCCCGACCCGACCCGCCCGCGCGACCAGGCCCGCCCGTTGGGGTGCGCGCGTGCCCACTCGAGG